CCTGGCACATCCAATGACAACACATTGACTGCTACACCTTTACTACAGAGGGACCTAAATAAGATCAAGAAAGGCCAAAGTTCTCAGCATGACTCAATGTCATAATACCCCTGCTTTTGGATGGTGCAGTAGGGTCTCAGCGCTGACTTCCATCTATGGAGCCTCATCTGTGACTATTGATGGTGTGAAGATGTGTTTAACATCTGCACAGAGAGACTTTGGGCATTAGTTTTGCAAATGAATAGGATGCCAAGGTTATCTAGATTCAGACCATGCCTGGGTGAGAAATTGATTTGGTGGCAAGAAATCAGAATTTGGAATGGGGTCCAAAGACAGTGGCTTTTGGCAATCTTTCATTGGTTTTGCATTGTTAACTACAGTAATCTTTAGCTGTCACAATTTGCTTTGGTAACTTGAATGAACCTAGCTGTGCCACTGATTGCAATAATAATACATGTAGAAACACTCAAAATTTAGACACTGTGTCATGAAATAAAATGCTAAGAGTTCAAGTTATTGTTGCTCATAAAGCCAAGTTCCTAATTTTGACTATTGGCATTCCTCTTTTTCCCACATGCCCCAGGTATTAGAGAAAATCAGAGATCATGTCAACTAGGAACTTACTTCTAAAGTTTGGAGAATATCGAGAGCAGAGTCTTGGAAACCGAGTGAATATCCTTGAGAATATTGCGTGGTGCTTTGGTCAAGTAATAAAGGAATGTTGTTCAAAGGAATAGAGTCTTATAGGCATTACAGTGTTCCTACATTCTTGGTTGACTTACCATAACACCACAAGCATACTGACCTTGAGTGAAGTAACTTGAGCTGGAGATGTCAGAAGGGTGTGTGGCCTCACACCTTCTCCTCCACTCCGGTCTCACACCTTCTCCTCCACTCCGGTCTTGCTTGTGGATCCTTGCTACAATGCCTCATTATGGGACAGGGTGACCGGCTGGAAGGAGGAGAAAGGCAAGTCCACACTTCTTCCCCAGACACTTAATCTACTTGGCTTATCTCATACTCCAGCATCAACTCCAGCATTGCCTCGTTCCTCGTTGAAACATACATATGTTATTCAAGGAAGTCCTCCTGAATATGTTTCAGAAATTTCTTCACCTTTCCCTTTAATGTAACATTATCCTAACTGATCGATAATTAAGGTCTCACACTTTTACAGCTCTGATTTTCCTGCAGATTTTTTTCCCCGCATCTCTCTCACTATTTGGAGATTTGTAGCACCTAATGCTGTGGGCCGATGAGGGTGAAATTGAACGTTATTACCACGTGATTGTTGTCCTCAGGCTCTTTCCGGCAGGTTTGCTGCATTTTTTTTAGGATGTGATACAGCTTGACGGAGATGAACTAATTATTATTGAGACTTGCGTTTGAAGAATTGCCACATACATAACTTGAAGGTACAAACGGCAGAATATTGTCAAGGAAAAAGAAGTTTGGAAAAAAACTCTTTGGATGACTGCAACTTGGGCCACCGGTGCATGTTGTGCATATTTGATGCATCTATGTACACAAAGCATTATAACTAATCAAAGCCAGTGATATGGTCCTGGAACTGTGTTTGACCAGAACAGCAGAGGATATGACTAGGAGACTCAAAATCGCAGGTCTTCATAAGATTGCAAGTATGTTATTTAGATCAATATAGAAATTCTAACATTTGGGGCTAATCCTTGATGGTAATCAATGGAAAATGTGCTACAGTCTTAAACATTGCAATTCCATTCATTTTAAGCTAAAACTATGGATGTTTTTCTTTCAAGTCAAAGCAGTGACGTAAAAGCTAGGAGCAGGAATAGGCCATTCGGCCCTTTGAACCTGCTTCACAATTTGATATTATCATACTCTTGATGCCTCTAAATTAACAAAAATCTATCACTTTCTTAAATATATTCAGTGACTTGACCTTCAGCCTTCACAAACTTCTGTGACAGAAAATTCCACCAGTTCATTACTCTTTAAGTGAAGACTTCTTTCTTCATCTCAGTCCTAAAGGCCTACCCTGTATTCTGAAACTGTGTCTCCTGGTTCTGGATTCCCCAACCAAACGTCCTCCCTGCATCTAGTCAGCCCTATTAGACGTTTATACATTTCAATCAGACCCCCTGTCACCATTCTAAATTCTACAAATACAGGCCTGGTCGAACCAATCTATCCTCATCGGCGGTCCTGCCATCCCTAGTATCAGTTTAGGGAACCCTCTGCTGCTGTCTATTTCTTTTCTTAGACAGGGAGACCAAAACTACATACAGTACTTCAGGTGTGGTCTCATCAAGGCTCTGTATAACTGCAGTAAGATATTCTTTCTTCTGGTTGCACTAAACGCCAATATACCATTTGACTTCCTAATCGCTTGTTGTATCTGTCTGTCTACTTTCATTGACTAGTATACAAGGACACGCGGATCCCTTTGTACATCCCAGGACCTATGTGCACATATTTAAATTGCACTAATATGTGAACGAACATTAGATTCATTACCGATAAATATGGACAGTGGATAAATTAATTGTATGTGTTTACGTGTGGGCTTTTGGAATTGCAGATGAGATCTTCACATTACATTAACTTTCTCACTGGATGGAAGAAATACGTTCTTTATTTGTTTGATTCTTGCTTGCTGATCACAGCACACGTATAACTATTTATTGGTTAGTGTCATCTCTTTGAGAGCTATAAGAATATATTTTGCAGTCGCATCAACTAAAGCATTAATATACATCTGGACAGGTTCCTGTCAAGTAATAAAGGCATTTGATGCTAATGCCTGCTTAAATGTAGGATCATTTGGTGTCAAAATGTTGAATAGTACACTCAACAACCCTCTGAGTAACTGCCATATCTGACAGTTGAAAAATATTTGGGACAGACAACTTATGTGATGTTTTGGGAATAGTGGGCTTAATTACGACATCTCTGCAAGACAGGTTGAATAACTCTAGGTTCCAGCTCGTTGCCAAACCAACTGAACTAAATTAGTTAATCTGTTTTGGCATTTGCTGTATTAGCAGAGGTGACTGTATTTCAAACATTCATTTTATGGATAATGTCAACAGAGGAGCACCATTCCAGGAGAATAATGATGTTTATAATTACTGTGAGTACACTTTGTGTACCAAATATATTGTATTTATTTACATAATGTTAAATAATTGTGGCTGCCTGTATTTACCGAGTTAAAGTTTATTTACAATCCATATATAACATAGTGTGGAGCTGGAGGAGCACAGCAGGCCACTGATATAGACTACTGATTGCATCCGCTGCTCCCGATGTGGCCTCCTCTACATCGGTGAGACCACCGGCAGCTCGGAGACTGCTTTGTAGAGCACCTGCGCTCTGTTCGCAACAAACGACGACATCTTCCGGTCATGAACCACTTCAGCTCCCTCTCCCACTCCCTGGGTGACATGTCTATCCTGGGCCTCCTCCAGTGTCACAATGATGCCACTCGGAAACTGGAGGAGCAGCACCTCATGTTCCACCTTGGGAGCCAACAACCCAATGGTCTCAATGTGGATTTTACCAGTTTCAAAATCCCCCCATACCTGGCCTCATTCCATGACCAACGCTCCCTCTCTTCCCCGCCTCCTTGACTTGTCACAACCTGTCCATCTTCTCTCCCACCTATCCACTCCTCACACCTCACTGACCAATCCCCACCACTGCCTACCTACATTCACCTATCACCATCCCACCTAACTTCCCCAGCCCCACCCCTCCTCTCAATTTATTTCTGAGCTCCCTTCCTCCTCCCCCATTTATGGAGAAGGATCCCGACCCGAAATGTCAGCTTTCCTGCTCTTCTGATGGTGCCTGGCCTGCTGTGTTCCTCCAGCCCCACGCTGTGTTATCTCTGACTCCAGCATCGGCAGTTCTTACTACCTCTTTATAATCCATATTGTGACTTGTTTGCAGGGACAGAAGGTACTACTAAAATAGGTGGGAAAGCAAGTTGCAGTGAAGAAATAAAAAGTTTACAAGTGGATATGGGTAGGTTAGGTGAATGGCAGATGGCATTTGACGTGGGTAAGTGTGAGGTAATCCATTTTGATTGAAGGAATGGAAAGGCAACTTATTGTCTGAATGGAGAGAAACTTCATAGTGTTTCAATGCAGAGGGAATTGGGTCCTTGAGCATGAATCGCAGAAAATAAGAATGCAGGTACAGCAGGCAATAAATAACGCAAATGGAATTTTAGCATTTATTGTGAAAGTAATAAGGCTATTAAAGTAGGGAAATGTTGCTGAAACTGTATAAGGTATTAGTGATACTGTACCTGGAATATCATATAAATTTTGGTCCACTTACTTAGGAGGGATGTGGTTGTATTGAAGACAGTTCAGAGGAGGTTCATTAGATTGATTCCAGAGATGAGAGGTTTGTTTTATCCAGAGAAGTTGAGCAGTTTAAGCCTATATCTCTTGAGTTTAGAAGAATGCCAGGAGATCTCATTGAGGCATGTAAGATCCTAAAGGGGATTGACATAGTAGATATAGAGCGGATGTACCCCCTATGGGGCAATCTAGAACAAGAGTTTATAGATCAGGAGTAGCAGATTTAAAACAGATGAGGAGAAAGTACTTCTCTCAAAGGGTAATGAATCTGTGGAATTAACTATCCCACAGTGGGCTGGATGCTGGGACACTGAGTAAATTTAAGGAAAGGGACAGATTTTTAAATAGTAACAGGTTGAAGGGTCATGGAGAGCTGGCAGGAAAGCGGAGTTGAGCTGGGTTGAGATCAGGCTCAAGTGGCTGAATTGCTGATTCCTGCTCCTAATTCTTACGTTCTTGTGTTATGTTCTAAGTGAGATATTTTGCCGAAGGCTAATGGGTAACTAATGGGTATGGAAGACCAGGCATATCAAGCAATGAATGTAGTTTTTCAATAAAGGGTAAGTTGCGGTATTGAAATGTCTTAATTAAATTGTGATAACTCGCTGTAACCATCTATTATCATGACAAAACAAATTCTTTAAGAACATGCCTTTTATGAAGGTAAGTTTAAAAAAAAGAAAGAAAGACCATCACAAATATTGTTTGTCATTATATTCCCCTTATTTTACTACCAGGTAAAAGGAACCAAACATTACGGATTAGTTGTGGTTGGACATTCCTTAGGAGCTGGAACTGCAGCTATTCTTTCTTTCTTGCTCAGACCTCAGTACCCTACACTACATTGTTATGCTTACTCTCCACCTGGAGGACTTCTTAGGTAGGTGCATGTATTATTTTGTATGTAGACTTTATCTAATCCAGGTTACAGAAAACTGTACCAGAGTTAGTAGCCGCGTGGACTGATCTAGGACAGGGAAAAAAACACCGTTGCAGATGAGTGATATTGAGTTTGCCTACTGTATTAGTGACTTATTTAACTGATTAAAATACAAGAAAAATGGCACTGTATGATTTAGACTAAATAGGGATTGAATTGTGTCTGAACTTTGTTAATACATTATCTTTAATAGTTTTAAAACATTGTCGCTATACACACGTTACATTTTATTACAAATGGAGTGCACCTCAGGTGAAATTGATGGTAGTATTCCAATTAGCAAATTCCATCCCTAGACTAATAAAATTTGAAGTTGAACTTCTGCTGACTTCACACCACCTACGGTGTTAGGGAGGCTAATATATTAAAAACAGTGTGTGGAGATTGTACTTATGTAAAATAGTCTAAAAGTGATGGGTACTTCTGAATTGCTGCAGAAAACTGATGAACACATTCCATTCTTCAAAGTTCATGACCAGACTTTAAATTCAGTCCGTTTGTTTTGATAATCTGCAGTAATTAGCTTTTTCTAGGAACATGCAATTAAACAAAACTCAATAATGTATTAGGCACAGGAGATCCTCAAGTTTGCTTCAAATGAGTTAACAAATGTGTTAAAATAGCAGAAATTTGAATCAATTTTTTCTAATGCACAGAAAATGTTCAGCTCATTTAAAAAACAAGCAGAATTTAAAAGAATAATTAGCCCAGGGGACTGAGATGGAGAATGGATGAGTCACTGTTGTTTCAACTTTGAGACCCTAATTCAAAGCCCACCTGAACTGGCCACTGGATAAGTGTGATAAATAGAAATATGGTGCAGACGAAGATGCTGTACTCTTCTTGGGGCTAAAGCACATATACTGACTTGATCAGAAACTGATGTTGAGTACCTGATATGGAAAGTGTTTTGTTCTCTACTCTTAACATCGCCTACCTTAATTTTCAGAAGATCCACACAATGAGAAGTAAAACAAGCATTTGATTACATGAGATACGAGTTGAGTTCCAATTTACACTAACAGAGATGTCAAATGTAAAATAAATTTATTTAAGGATATACCTAAAGGACCTAATCATGCTTCTATTAGTTGTGTTTTCTGAGCATTTACTAGTATTAACTGGATTGACTTAATTTTTTTTTAAATTTCCTTTGCATCTTTATCAAAGTACAGTAGAAGTATTAAAAAGGTAGAATATGATAATAAGTATATGTTAAAATAAAATGTTTGAGTTCTCCTTAACCTTACACATAAAGCCATCACCTGTTGTAGTACTGAGCCTTAAGAGACTAAAATATCCCACTACTGGTCTCTGCTCCATTATGCTTTGATTACCTTTACAGACCTAGTTTGACTTTGCTGTCTCTGGATTAGGAGCACATCATACAGCATCTATATTCCTAGTTCTAAATTAACAATCTTTCTGCAATATAGTTCTTCGAATATTGGGCGTGGACAACTTTGGAATTGATTGCGATTGGCTCCAGATCAAATAGCCTGTTGATGGCTACAGCCTGTACTTTCAAATGAAGAATGGCTACTTGGGCAGGTTACTTGAAGCCCTTGGTACCCATGGAACCGTATCCTAGCAAGAATAATTGTCTTCAGGAGAGGAAGGAAGAAAGTAAATGCTAATCTTGTCCTATATGAAAATTTAGATCATATCAGTTTAATATTAGATCAGTTTTAATAAGTATATCTTTTGTGCTTTTTTTAATATGATCAGTTGATGTTCAATATTAAATTTTCTTTCAGATTACTGTGCCTCCAGTTTAATTGTTCTTTTCTAATTTAATCCTTAGCTCTGATGCTATGGAATACTCCAAGGAGTTTGTGACATCTGTCATCCTTGGCAAGGATCTGGTACCAAGGCAAGTTGAGGAATCTTATTTAAATTTTATCATGCTCTTAATCCACTGTACTATATTGCAACCTCAGTTCTGTGCTTTTTCACTATTTACGATTTTGATTGTCTGCCAGAATGTTTACAGATCTTGAGGCTTACTTTTCTAAGAACCAGCTTTATTTAATTGCTTTTCATTGATTTTTCACTTTGTATTGCCATTCAGCCAGATTGATCTTCCAGTTGTGGGACACATGGAAGAACTATTTATCCAATTAGCCCTGCTATATAGCTTTTGGTGTTTTTTTTAATCTTAGAAAGGAAATGAGCAGGAGCTAGGCAGTTTGCAGTTGTTAATGATTGCATCATTTTAATAATTAAAAATAATCTGGTACTTATTTGGATAATTTAACTGGCACTGTCAGAAATTCAAATTTCATGGAGTATGTGGTGGTTTTGCTTATCTGCTGATGGCTTTGAGGAGAACCATTCTATTGTGAAAAAATATTTGAGATGCTGCTTCATAAGTTAGCAGATATCAAATCTTTGTTTTCTTTAGTGAATTGCTGAATGTATACAGCTATTAATTTGTTCCAATAATGAATGTAGAATACAAGACCAGCACTTATTTCAGAAGCTGCACCGTTTGAAAATATTGAAGAACTTCAGATTGCCATGTGGTTATTATGAACTTTTGTATGTTATTACCTGAGATATAGATCCAGAGCTTCCACGAGAATTACAACCAGGAAATTGGGCTTGCCTGATATCCAAAACCCTACTTTGATAGTCTGATAAAAACAAAATACTGCAAATTCTGGATATCTGAAAGGTACACAAAGTACTGGAGAAACTCAGCAGGTCTGGCAGCATCTGTGAAGTGTGAAAGAGAATTAACAATTTGAGTGTGGTGCAACTGTTCTTCAGAACTGGGAGCTACCCGTAATCTTGGTTGGGTTCAAAATATGAAGGATGTGAAAAGCGGACAATTGATTAAACAGTAGGAGGGAGATGGAAAGCGCTGTGGTGAACAAACCAAAAGATGAAAATGGAGATCCCATTGGAGAGAAAAACATAACCTCTTCAAGGTGGTCATATCTGGAAGAGAAGTGACAGTGAATGAAATACTTCAATAAAGGCAAAATACTGCTGATGCTGGAAATCTGAAATGAACACAAAATATGTGGAGAAACACAGCTGGTCTGGCAGTAGTTCTGCAGAGAGTGAAATGGAGTTAATGTTTCAAGTCTATTATGACTCCTCTTTGGGTTCCCAGTTCACACTGTCCCCCATTCCCAACTGGCCTGAACTGCTCCTCAGGTATACTAGTTTGTTAACCATGACATCCAACATTCCTCACTCCTGATCCCAAGCTGCATCACTTGAGTTCTTATAAAACAGCCTTGTTGGGCCCCCCCTTGTCAGTATTAATTAATGTAGATCTGTTTCAGGGTCAACTAGAACAACTCCATAGTTGATTTGCAGCAGGTGATTGACCTCTGTATTTAAGACCTGAGTCCTTCCCCAGTGGGATAGTGGGCCTCAGCACAGCGAAAGGGTCCAGAAGTGACAATGAAACTTTTCTGAATCTCTGACTGTCCTTTGCTGCCTAATTCAAAATATTTATGTTGGAATTTTGCAGTCATTCTGTGTTTAAGTAATACTCTGCTTTTCATTCTTCCTGACAAAATGAATAACTTCACATTATACTCCATCTGCCAGATTTTACCATACTAATTCAAATCATCTATATCCTTCTGCAACTTCCTTATAAGTTTTGCACAACATACAAACCAATCTGCAAATTTAGCCATTATGCCTTCTCTAAGTCAGTGATATAAGTTGTAAGAAGGCGAAAACTCTTTACACAGGCCTTCACCCATCACACCCAGCCAATCAGACAAAGTATCATTTCTGCATTCTGTTTTCTGCCAGCAAGTCAATCGTCTATCCATAATAATTAGACCATGAGCATTTATTTTCTGCAATAACCTTTGATATGGCACCTTATCAAACGCCTTCTGGAAATTCAAGTATAGTACATCTGTGGGGACCCCCTTTATCTACATTTAGAGAACATGATTTCCCTTTGACAAAAACATGTTGACTCTTCCCAGTTACTTTGAGATTTTTCTAAATGTGCAACTATGATTTATTTAAGGATTGAATCAAACATCTTCTCCATGACATATGTCAAATCAACTGGCTTATATTTTCCTATTTTCTGCCTACCCCTCCACTTCTTGAATTGAGGGATTATATTTGCTATTTTCCATTCCAGTTGAACCTTCCCTGATTCCAGGTAATTTTGGAAAATTAACAGCACACATCTTCTACCTTTTTAAGATCCTAGAATGAAGTCCTGGGTGATTGTAATTTCACTACATTTCCCTCTCCGTTTTATTTCCTGATTTCTAATGGTTAGGTGTATTTTTGTATCCTATATAATGAAGCTGCATGCAAAATATTTGTGCATTTCATATGCCAATTCCTTATAATCAACTATTAATGTCCCATTCTCACTTTCTAAAGGACCAGCATCCACTTTACTTACTCTTTTCCTTTTTAACTACTTGTATTGATACCCTTAGCTAAGTATGCCAGTTCACTTCTACCATTTCAGTTTTCAGGCCCTTTATTTAGGTTTAAAATACTAACCTTACACCCAAATTCTCCTTTTCAAACTGGATGTAAAATTCAATCATATTGTGGTCGCTGCTACCTTAACTCTGAGATCATTAATTAATCCATTACCTCTTTGGTTGGTTCCAAAACATGCTGCTGTAAGGAACTATTTCACAAACATTCTTTGCACTTCTTATCCAGGCTACTACTACCATTCTGACTTGGATTAAAGTCACCCATGGTTGTTGGTATCTTTTTATCACAGTCACCCTGTATTTCTTCTTGTATACTTTGTCCCACATTGTGATTACTGTTCGGTGACCTATAGCTAGACTAGTTCCAGAAAACTTATTTCCTATGCTGTTCCTCACTCCAACCAATTCTACATACTGATCTTCTGAACCAAGGTCATCTCAAGCTATTGCACAAATGACATCCTTGATTAACAGTGTGATTCCTCCACCCTTACCAGCTTGCTATATTCCTTGAATGTCTCATACTCCTCAATATTCAGGACCCAACTATTGTCATCCTGAAGCCATAACTCTATAATGGTTGTCACATTATATTTGAATGTGTGCAATCAATTTATTTACTTCGTTATGAATGTGCATTCAGATACAAAGCTTGTAGTTTTGTCTTTTTGTTATCTTTGTAAAATCTAGTCTTAATTGTTGGTATATTTCTAGTTTCCTTTCTTTCTGCCCCTTCCCGTCATTCTCTGATCATCACTTCCCATATTGCTATTTTGCTGTCTTTCCTTGGCTATACTTTTTGATTTGCAGCATACTTCTCCATTTGATCACATTGCCACCACTATTTAGTTTAAAACCCTCTCTACTTCTCTAGCTACGTGGTTTACCTGAACATTGACTTCAATATGGTTCAGGTGTAGACCATCCAACAGTACAACCTGAACTTTACTCAGTACTGGTGTCCACGAGCAGGAACTCACTTCTCCCACATCAGTCTTTAAGCCATGTATTCATCTGTCTAATTTTATGTACCCTATGACAAGATATTTTATTAATTTAATAATCAATTTGTACCCTACCACAAAAGGTTAAGGACAGAAAAGACTTTAACCAATTACCCGAGATTCGCTAAACAGCTAATTCCTTTCTCTGTAATAGAGCAAGAACAAATTCTATTCAGCTCCAATGAATCTGGCTCTATCTCTGACTACCTGCCTCATGGTCCTCACTACAACTATTTCTCTCTCTTGTTCAAGCTTAAGCAATCTTTATGAGATAGAACAATGAAGAAGTCCAACTTTAACAAATTATCATAGGGATTCTACAGTACAATGTTTGAATAGTTAATTTATACATTTTGGGATTTATTTGATGAGCTGTTTCTTTAATTACATCATCTTCCACCACTTTAGTCTCTTCCCTGATCTGCTACCTCTTGATTTGAGTTTCATGTGATCCTTTGTATCTAATAGACAGACTTTCAGTCACTTCTAAATTTTCTGCCAAGCATTCCACAGTTCCCATATGTGTCAGCACTCAATGTGCACTGAATGAGGTGTCCTGATTTCCTTTTGAGCTAATTTATGTTAGGCTGAACATAAAATGTAACATGTAGCATTACCATCAGGTAGCTTTATGATCACAACATGGCCAACAGAACTTTAAGACTATACTGACTTGAGCTGGAAATTTGTTCAAATAATTATGCTGTTGAAAACTCCAGCCATTTAGTAATTTCAAGTGACTGTCGGTCCCAGATCATATGTACCAAATAAATTGATTCAACTTTTCTCATTTAAATATGAATTCAGAAGCTTTGAAATCATTGTTACATGAGATACAGACCTGAGTGAGGATTTAATTGTTGACCACTGCAACTCAACATCGTTAATGATGGGCTAATGTGACACACACTGCCTTGGGATAATTTGATGACTGCAATGTGATGAAGTTGGAGGAAGCATGCCACACTGATCTGGATACATTGCCAATTTTGTGCAAAATTGAACAAAATACTTCAGGCAAATTGATTTTTGAATCAGTATAGAAGAGAACAGAAAATCAGTCATGAATGGTTATATTCATGACATACATTTAAACTTTTGATCTTTTGCACAGTTGCATTAACCCAGATTATGCTAATATTTGATTGACTGACTGTTTTAGTTACTTCTCTTCCGCTCCACCCACCATTGGCAGATCTGATCCTCTGATGGAAAGGATATCTTTTGACCTTCAGCCCTGCCTTTTTAATGGCATTATCTGGTGCATGGGTAACTCAACTATATTTTTCAAACATGTAGACATTTGCTGGCGCTAGAGAAATCATTATCTATGCACAAAATCATACACTAACAAGATTAGTTCATTTTCTTATTGTACAGAAAAATTTGCATGCATCCTTAATATTCCTAAAGAATGTTACTCTTTCACCATGTTGCATGTGAATGTAGGAACAATGATAGGATATTTAGCCCCTTGAGCCCATTCTACCATTCATTTGGATTATGGTTAATCTGTTCTTGACCTATCTACCTTTAGATATGTATCCTTTAATATCATTGTCTAACTGTTATGACCACTGACGGTTTAAAACATGATGTTTTAAACTGTCTCCTTCAATTAAATATAAAATGGAATAATGGGGAGGGGCACATAATATCACACCAGGTTTGCTTTCAGATGAGCATAACATATTTAGCTGCCATACAGACAGTGACCCAGACTGAAACTTATTGAAAATAAGGCTAAAGTTTTAATGTCTGAATACAAAAGAGAAGGCAGCAGTTCTTGCTGCTTTTGACACTCTACTCGAAGTCAGTTAGACTGAAACATTTGGGGAAGACAACCCACAACAGCTGCTCATATGTGAGAAACATAGAAGATAGGAGCAGGAGAAGGCCATTCAGCACTTTGAGCCTGCTCTGCCATTCTTCATGATCATGGCTGATTGTCCAACTCAATAGCCTAATCCTGCTTTCTCCCCATAACTTTTGATCCCATTTGCCCCAAGTGCAGCTTTTGAATATATTCAATGTATTCTAGTCGCCTTTTGAATACGTGCAATGTTTGGCATCAACTACTTCCTGTGGTAATGAATTCCACAGGGTCATCACTCTTTGGGTGAAGGAATGTCTCCTCCTACGTCCTAAATTATCTACCCTGAATCCTCATACTGTGACCCCTGGTTTTGGACACACACACCATCGGGAACATCCTCCCCGCATCTACCCTGTCCAGCCCTGTTGCAATTTTATAAGTCTCTATGAGAGCCCCCCACTCATTTGTCAGAACTCCAGCAAAAACAATCCCAACCTAGTCAATCTCTTCATATTTCAGATCTGCCATCCCCAGAATCCGCCTGGTAAACCTTCACTGCACTCCCTCGACAGCAAGAGCATCCTTCCTCGGAAAAGGAGACCAAAACTGCACACAATATTCCAGGTGTGGTCTCACCAAGGCCCTGTATAACTGTAACATATTCCTGTCCTGTACTGGAAACCTCTCACAACGAAGCACAACATACCATTTACCTTCTTTACCGCCCGCTGCACCTGCATGCTTACCTTCAGTGACTGGTGCACAAGGACACCCAGGTCCTGCTGCACACTCCCCTCTCCCAATTTACAGCCATTCAGGTACTAATCTGCCTTGTTTTTTCTTCCGAAGTGAATAACCTCACATTTATCTAAATTATACTGCATCTGCCATTGATTTGCCCGCTCACCCAACCTGTCGAGATCATGCTGAAGGATCTCTGCATTCTTGTCACAGTTCACCTCCCACCCAACTTGGTATCACTTGCAGGCTTGGAGATGTTACGTTTTGTCCCCTCATCCAAATCATTAATATATACTGTGAGTAGCTGGGGTTTCACCACCAATCCCTGTGCCACACCACTAGTTACTGCCTGCCAATTTGAAAAGGGCTTATTAATTCCTACTCCTTGTTTTCTCTGTGCCAACCAGTTTCCTATCCATCTCAATACACTTCCCCCAATCCCATGCGCTTTAATCTTGCACATTAATCTCTTATGTGGGACTTTGTCAAACATCAGACAAAAGAAAAGAACTGTTTAGGTTAACAACCAAGTGAAAAACTAGTGAGGATAGAACCTATATTGGAAGGAACAAAGATTATGAATAGTGAAAGATCACAAAATCAACAGTTTGAGGCCCATATGTTTAAGGGTTCAGTGAAGAGTCTTAAAGGGACACTGGATGATTCATTGTGGTGAAACAGAGAGAAGAGATTTTATTAGATCCAATTGCAAACACTCACTGGACGTTGAAGTACTGGACTTTAATTCACATGAATTAATGCCAATATCTTTGATTTTTATGTCATTCATAATTGTAACTTCAGTCCTTCCCTTCTTTCTTTCTTCTTTATATTCTTGCACAAGTCACAATAGCCATCACCCTGAATTTTCGATGCATTAGTAAATTCTACTTTATTTTAGACCTAAGGAATTTTCTGTGAGTATTTTTTTAAAATTGGACTTCAGAAGCAGGTTTTGGGGGAATTAAGCCATCATCTATTTCAGAATGGAAAATGAACAAAATATCAGAAAAAAAGAGGACAACGGTAATGTGGTCAAAATTCACCTCTTCCTCTTGTCCATGACAAACTTAAAAATGGATTGAGAGTTAGGAGGTATAAGATTGCAGTTCTACACAAGTAGAATGTCCATTGCACTTTCTATAAATCACATTTCTTTGTGCAACTTCTCATTACCTAGTCCCATTAGATGAAAGATCAAGTAGGCTGGCTGCTATTGTTGTGTGCACCTGTTTGGCTTCAAGATTAGGCATGCAGGTTTCACACAAATACCTTTGTTCTATTAAGTATTACCATGGGATATGTTCCTAATTGTTACTAGCCAAGGGATATGTTCTTAATAATGCATTGCCATTCTTATGTTCCTACAGACTTGGTTTGTCGCAGCTAGAAGTCTTTCGTAGACACTTACTTGAAGTGTTGCAGAAGAGCAATAAACCAAAGGTTTATTTTTCTGACTTTTTTCTGAGTGTACTTCTTCTTTAAGTATTTTTTATTGAATAGTGTGAATACACTATTGCAGCATACGTCAAAAGCCGGAATATAGTATTTTTGTTTGTGTTTGTAGGCATTTTGGAAAGTTGATTGTTATTATTATCTGGCTGATGTTATCAATTCAGAAACATCAGGACTATATTCTTGACTAACCAATTTCCCAGTAGTGCAAAACATTATTTTTCAGCATGCTTGCATTACATCTGTGCATTCTGTATCGTGAACTATTACACTTCGCAACAATGTGGGATGTACTCTAATAGTGGGAAATGAAAATAAATTAGATTTGGAACAGTGGAAACAGTGTGTTCAGACAGGGCTGCAAGAGTTTGCAAGTAACAGGACAGGTGAAGAATTTATAGACGAGAGCAAAGATTTTGAATTCAGTAATTTAGAGAATGGGGAGGCCATGGTGCTAATTAGAGATAGGCTAATAGGTAAATGGAACTTAGTGTGGATAAGATACCAACAGTATGGTTTTGAATATGTAGTGGAGTATAGGAAGCAAATGAAGTGATCATGGATTCAGGTTGATGGGAGAGAAGTAAGTTAAATCACATGGGATTCAGGGTGAATTTGCTAATTGGATACAAAATTGGCTTACTGGCAGACAACAGAGTGGTGGTGAAGGGTTATTTTTAGACTGGAGACCTGTTACCAGTGGGATCGGTGCTGGGTCCATTGTTGTTTATCATTTATATAAATTATTTAGATGAGAATATAGAAGGCATGGTTACCAAGTTTGCAGATGACACCATAATTGGTAGTATAGTCGATAGCGAAGAAGGTTATCTAAGATTACAAAGAAATCTTGATCAATTGGGTCAATGGACTGAAGAGTGATAGATGGAGTTTGATTAGGATAATTGCGAGGTCTTGCATTTTGATAAAACAAGCAAGTGCAGAACTTATGCAATTAAAAATGGGGCCTTGGGTAGTGTTGTAGAACAGAGAACTAGGTGTTCAGGCACATAATTCTTTGAAGTTTACGTCACATGTAGACAGGGTGGTTAAGAAGACGTTTAGCACGGTTGCCTTCATTGCTCAGACCTTTGAGTATAGGATCTGCGACATCATGTTGAGATTGTACAGGATGTTTGTGAGGCCTGTTCTGGTCATCCAATTATAGGAAGGATATTATTAAGCTGGAGAGGGATGTTGCCTGGAATGGAGAGAGGCTGGATAGGCTGTGACTTTTTCACTGGAGCATAGGAAGTTGTGGGGTGACCTTATGGAGGTTTATAAAATCGTGGCATTGATAAGTTGAATAGCAAGGCCCTTTACCCTTGGGTGGAGGAGAATTTTGTTTTAGTCCAGTCCAGTGTTATCGATGAATAATATGATTCCAAATGTTTAATTTTTTAAATTATAATTCTTTCTGCAGTGGAGAATAATCATGGGCGGTACTAAATGTATTCCTAAATCTGAACTGCCGGATGATGAGGAAGTGCCTAACATTCAGAGTAACAGGCAATGGACCTACCCCAGTGACCTTACTATCGCTCTTTCTGCTAGTGTGCCACTCTACCCACCAGGTCGGATTATACACGTCATACACAACCATCCTGAGGAAAAGTGGTAGGTTCTATAAAATTGTTTGGCTCCAGTTCACGATGCCTTTTTGTCAATTTATGAACCCATTTGTACCAGCCTATCTTCCTCCAAGTCTTTTGTCTGTGTCAACTGAAACAAGAAAGCTGCTATAATGGCCCTGTGAATAATTTCACTCAGAATTTCCCTTCCTTCTTGCCTTTCATGGTGAAACTCCTGACTATCTTCTCGATTCAATTTTTTGTCCTATTTGTTCCTGATGTGAGTAAAGAGTTGTATGTTCAAGTTTGCAGATAGGGCTATAGTAAGTATTGCAGATGGGAACAGTAAGTCGCAAAGGGAGATAGATTAACTGAATGGACGAAACTATGGCAAATAGAGCTGAAGTCTGGACCAATGAAAGACAATTTTTTTTTAATAGATGATAAACTAGAAACTGCCGGTAGTCCAAGTACAGAAATAATTGAAAGCCAGTAGACAGGTGCAAATCACTAAAGGCTGCTGCAGTGTTGGTCTTCATATCAAGGAGTCTAAACTGCAAAGGGAGAAAATGATGCCTCTGTTTTACTGAGCTTTGATAAGACACCATAAAATTTACATTCAGTTTTGCATATCACATTATAAAAAATATTCTGGCTTTGGAGCAGGACAGCCAAGGTTCATCCAAATAATACTGGAACTCAAGTTACGGATTAAATTATGAAAACGGGTGGAGTAAAAATTGTGTGTATTTGCTTGGGTGTAAGTGATTAAGGCATGATCTAATTGAGATGTTTCTAATGCTGAATGAATTTGCCGGGGTAGATACAGAGACACTTTTATCATGCGATGGAAGAAATCAAGAGGGAGACATATAAAATTAGAGCTAGGAGCCGAAATTAGCAAACTGTTTTTAACACAATAGTAGAAATTTCAAACACTTCCCCAAATGACTGTGTATACTGTGACAATTGGAGCCGTCGAGGTTAATAGCTTTTGGTTGGTTAGGGGTTTTAGGGATCTGGAGAAAATTTGGCAAATGGTATTAATGTACAGATCAGCCATGACCTAATTGAACATCCCAATGGGCAGAATAATCTACTCCTGTTTCTTATGTTTAAAGTCCATGCTGTGTTCTAATTTGTCAGGTTGCACAATGGTGTTTCTATAGCTCTATATCACCATCTAGTGCCATAAATTGGGACCTGTAGCAGCAAATAAAAAAAAGAGCAAGCCAGATTTTGAAATGAGATCTGATGCAATGTCTTTAAGTTGCTGTGCAGGGCATTTGATGACATCTGCCAACAGTCACACTTGTCCTTGAATATTTAAGTTTTGAATTTTTTTTTTGCTTTGCAAGTTGCTGGAAATGTCAATTAGTAACGTAGATGCTTGGTTTGATTAGGTTCAGAGACCTGGTGATCAGGGCAACCAACTTCATATCTCCTTAACAAATATGATTGAAACACAGTAAAAGTAACAGCACAAGGAATAAAATGGGTAAAGTTAATGTCAAATCAAGTGCAGAAAAGAAATAGACGGGGAAAAAGGATAGGAGTAAGAGGTAAAGAGAACAAAGGTAATTTTTTAAAAAATATTTAAAATCCATAATTTTACATTTTTTTTAGATTTCCAACTGCAGTTGTAGGATTTACTCACCCATATCTCTATCCAACAGTGTTCATGTAGTCTACATTCCAGGTTAGCATACATACTATATTATCGAACCATATTGAAACTAGTACATGTGATTATATTATCTGATCATATCATGACATGTTCACGTCTTTTAAGTGCAAATACCTACTTGTGATTACCAGAAATCCCATACCGTCCACCCCGCCCTTCCCAAAAAAAAGCCTACTTTTACAAAACAGCTGTGACATGATAGCTAATGCATTTCAGTGCTGAGTTGGGCAGCAAGGGAGATTTTAAAGGTGGAGCGACTTGATGTGCTTGACACTGTCATATGCTGCTGTCCAACCACTTAAAGTTAAGGGAAAGTGCTGCTACCAATTCTCCATTCTGTGCTGAGTATAGGGGCCTGTATGATAAACAGTGGTAGAGGACAAACAACTTACGAGAGCTTAATAGGAAGAGGCACTTGTCTAATGACAGGATGTAATTGATTGTATGTTAGCAACAGGTGCAGGTTACATGATCAGTTAGATATAATTAAAAAGAAAATTGGCAGCAAGGGATGACTTGTTTGTCTCCATTCGGACCTCATATTAGATTGCCTCTTTCCATGCAACGACTGTGTGAGATCATAAAATTTTTTGGAGCTCAATGGAGCTTTAACATTAACTCTTTCAGAATCATTGCCTTACACAGCATCTCTCCTAAGTTTTTTAATGTCATTAGTTAACACTTATATGTTTAGGATATAACTAATTTTACATTTACTGCTCCTGTTATGATGGTACTAGTGGAAAAGGCAGATCCCAGAATGAAGGCTGGCTTGACAGATCATATGCCTGTTTTGGTTTGTTCAGTTCATTGGCATGTTAGTCGCTGGAATGCATTCATGTGAGACTTTGGATTTTATTTTAATAAAACAGCACAGGTTTATTAGTGAAAAGGAAGAAAACAAACTGACTGAGTTGCATACGTATATTAGAATTACAAAGAACTTAGTGGTAAACAAGATATCAATTGAAAGCGTAATGCTGTGGATGATGGAAATGTAAAACAAATGCAGAGAATGCTGAAGAAACTCACCAGATCTGGTAATATCTTTTAGAGAGAGAAACAGAATTAACATTACGAGTCTGGTATGCCGATTCTTCATCACAAGGTTTTCCTCAAACCCTTTTCACCTTGTTTTCCAACATTATCTGTTACGAAGAGTCAAATCTAGTGAAATTTTTCTCCTATCTCAACTCTTTGTATCTGCTTAAGTGACTTCTTCCAGTTTCTGTCTCTTGAATAGGGAGGGGAGGCAAGTTTATGATTCCTTTCACAGATCTGATGCCCTATATTTCTTGAATTCTAACATCCTGAACATTTCTGCCCCAAAGTGTCTTGGCTTGGAAACTTAACAAACTGGGAAAGAAAGTACTGCTGCTGCAGTAAAAACCAAAAGAACTGCGGATGCTGTAAATCAGGAATAAAAACAAAGTTTCTGGAAAAGCTCAGCAGGTCTGGCAGCATCTGTGGAGGAGAAAACAGAGTTAACGTTTCGGGTCCGGTGACCCTTCCTCAGAACTGCTGCTGCTGCAGTAACTGGTTTCTTCTGAACTGAACTAAAACTTATTTGGAGGTAAACTTAAAGATGCTTCTGAGCTCAACTGTTGTGATACATCTTGACTAAAACTCTGATGTATTCTAAACTGAACTAAAAACATTGTTGTGCTTACGCTGCCTATTATAAATCTCAAAGTATGAACGTATTATTCCATTAACACTCATGGGTTCTCCCAAGCCCTTGATTACAGTTACATGTCTTCTTGGGACTGGTAAATTTAGGCTGTGTTTCTTGAGAAGTAACCTTAACAGCACTGCCTCCCTCCTTAATGCAATTTAAATTAAAGAGCGGTTGATAATTTTACAAGCCTTTCTTCCTACTAGCTCATCTCTCCCCATATCCCTGATTTCACATATTCAGGGGGTCTGAAGGTTTTTCCCAGTTCGTCTAGAACTCATTGGCTTTGGACTTTGAAGATTACTAGGTCTTTGGCTTGAGGAGTTGACCTTCAGTCAGATTCTCAGTAAATCCTTTTCTGCTGGAGGATCATTTGTCTGTTGGGTGTAATTTGTGGAATGTGCCAATAAGTTCTTCCATTATCTGTTTGGAGGACCATTAATCTCATGAATGTCCTGCGAAGAGCATCTCTTCCCTGATAACTCAGGTAATTGTCCAATTATTTCACCTGGGGGATTGGTCTTGATGAACATGGATCATGGAAGATGATTGCTCTGTTGAAGCAAGTGCTTTCTTCCTTGTAGTAACTTGGATTTTACGACAGGGCTTTTTTGACAATAAACAGAAACTGTGGACATTGATCTGGCTTCCATGGAGTTGCATGAAGCTCATCTCCATTTTGTTCAAGCAAATCTTTACACTCAGTCTGCTGATACATCTGTGCTGAAGTATTTAAGTTTTCTATTTCCACTTGTTGATTAGGTTGGTTGTCTCTAGTCACCCTCTGTAAATTTCTTCCCGTTGTTCTAGACTTTTCATATCTGCAGTCATAATGCTAAAAGACTGCTGGTTGTGTAGCATTATCCCTCTCTGTTCTACTGGTAATTCTTTTGAAGTGAAAGGATTGAAAGTTTGTTCTTGAACTTATCTGCCAACTAATTTAAATTTACTGAATCAATTTGTTACGCCAGCTGCTTTGCTATCTGAACAATTTCAGTCAAAATTTCATCACTTAGTTCAAGTGGACTATATTGCACATTCTTGTTTTCAGTGTCTGCTTCTTGTAGCAAACTTTGCTGATATTTGTCTTCTGGATTTTTTTCAGTGATAAGAATGAAAAAAATTCTCACCAGTTCTGTAAAGTCACAGACTTCCTTTTTATTGACAGTATTAAAAATTTTTCTCATAGTGACATAGAATCTACTGAGATTACCTTTCTTCTTTTTGGATTCTGCCATGACCTCATGAAACCCAATGAAATCTTCTACCAGTTACACCTTGAGAGCTTTGTTGACAATGGTTTGTTTCTGAACCAGTTGTTCACCTGAAACAATTTGAAATTCTTTAGCTACCTTAAGACTGTTCAGGTCAAGGCATGTGTGCTAAGTGAAAAGTGTAAATTACGAACTAAATACAAATTTCCAACTTACACTTTTTTTGTTGCAGTGTTACTTGTAACATACCTTTACTCATGAGAGTTCCTCCACCTGTGCATGTGGTTTCATCTATGTGGGCTGTAATTTTTGTTTTTCTTCAGCCAAAGCATTTGATCTGATAGGAACAAATGTCAATGTCCTGAATCGTTCTCGTAATAGTATAAAATTTGAATTGGTTAAATCACCAAAATATCTAGCGATGCCTGTAAATTTTTCTCATGGTGGTATATTTTATAATGTTAGTATCTTTTCTAAAGCAGGAGGTTTTACTCCGTTATATCCTGTTTGTATGAGTAAGCGTTTGGCTTTTTGTTGCTCTGAATCTGTGTCTTACTTCTGCACAACTTCTGGAAATGACTGAGACAACAAGGTGCAGGGCTGGATGAACACAGCAGGCCAAGCAGCATCATAGGAGCAGAGAGGCTGACGTTTCGGGCCTAGACCCTTCATCAGAAATGCAGTATTCTTTTGTCATAGCTGGCACTAGTAGTGCTGGTGAGGCTTTTTTGTTCCAAAGCTAGCTGTTACTTTCTGTGTTAACTTGTCATATTTGTCTATATAGTGTTTAGGTCTTATAAATTGTAGAAGTTCTGTTGTTCTCTTGTGATGTGGTTATCCTTCTTCTCTGAGGATTTGTCTGAGTCTTCTTGATTTCTGCTTCAAGCGTATTTTGAATAGTTTTTTTTTCCAAAGTCAGCCCTTTGGACTGTAATAATCCTGATAGAAATTCATCAATATTGTGAACAATAATCTGTCTCTTCTGAATTCTGATTTCAAAGTATCATATTCTCAGTCTTCCACTAATCTACGAAAAGCTCTGAATTTCCCTGGATTCTGAACTCTGTTAAATCTTGCTTTTTCAAGAGTTTTATTTATTTTCAGACTTGCATACTTATCAAAATCGATTAGAATTCCTGAAAATTGTCCGTGCCTTGTTTTATAGTTTTGTGATTTATGATGTCATGCTGTATATGGTATATTGTTTAAAATAGTGCATTTACTTGTTTAGCTTCATAGTTCATAATTAGTATTGAAGCAATTCTGAACCTTAAGAACTGATTTCTCCAAACCTGTTTTCTGTTTGGCCCATCTCTGATATGAATCTTGATGGCAACATTATTTCTCCTGCCATTGCTCCTTTTTGTGGTAACTTATTTTCATTTAAAGCTGTTTTAGATGAGTAGCATTTCATTGTTGTTTGATCTATTTTTCTTCAAGGTTTATCGATTCCGCTGAAGGCGCTATAAAAATAGGCTGGGACTTTTTCACTGGAACGAAGGAGATTGAAGGGTGACCTTATATAGGTTTATAAAATCATGAAGGGCATAGATAAGGTGAATAGCAAGAATCTTTTCCTTAGGGCGGGGGCGTTTAAAACTAGGGGTCATATTTTAATTGTGAGAGGAGAAAGATTTAAAAAGGACATGAGGGGCAACTTCTTTCACATAGACACTGGTTCATATGTGGAATGAACTGCCAACAGAAGTGGTGGATGCAGGTACAGTTACATCATTTAAAAGACATTTGGATAAGTACATGAATAGAAAAGATTTGGAGGGATATGGGCCAAATGCAGGGAAGTGGGATTAGGTTCGTTTAGGAACGTAGTTGACATAGACTAGTTGGACTGAAGGATCTATTTCCATACTACGTGACTCAATGACTGTGATAGCTTTAAAGCTTGCAGACTTGCGTAAAATGATGTTGTTCTAATTTTCTTGACTTATAAGCATTTTCAAACTTTTAAACTCTACATAATAGCAATATTGTAATATTTTCTTTTGTTTGTAAAATTTTAAGCACTCAATACTATGTTATTTCCTTGTAATAAAGCTTTAAAATTTTTACTAAGGCAATACTGTATCTTTGTAATGTTGCCTCTTATTCAGCTAAAGAAGTAGGAATATGATTGCACAGCTGTTATTAATCCAGCAATATCTTTAGTATCTAGTAATCCTTTAGTATCTTCTCAGAATGGTAAATGTTAATATGAGCCAAGACTATGCATATTGGTAGGTTATTTAGTCATGTGTCAGCATAACTGCAATGGACTGTACGTGTTTTAATTTCATAGAAGCATAGTGCACTTGCTAGCAGGAGTCACCAGAATCAAATTTCCCCCTTCCTCCCCACAATTATTGAAATAAATTGTAGCACCTCAACTGTTGCTGTTCCTAAAACTTCAAGGTGACAACTGGAGGTTATATATTACCAGTTTCCCATTGAATAAATTGGGCAGGTATTATAATTGTTCTTCTTTGTTTACTATGGGGAATGTGCATTTGAGTATGATTCCTGTGTTAGTTGTTGGGCAAAATGCTGTTCCAGCTGGTGACATGTCATTTTCACATTTCCTATTTTTCATTGAGGTTGACGCACATTTTATATCTGCTATACTCACTTAAAAAAATGTATTTGGAGTTGGGAGTGATAGTTTGGGGTATTCTGGTTTGAACTCCTTTCATGTTAATTTTTGCAGTTGCTGTGGACAGGAAGAGTCGACTTATTATGCTATTTGGAGTGATAACAAGACTTTAGATGAGGTCATCATCTCTGCTGCCATGCTGAATGAGCACATGCCTCATGTTGTAATGGATGGATTACACAAGGTATTTTTCCAACTGATTTTCCTACTAACTGACAAAGCAAAATACAGAAACATAAAGAAAAATTGTGAGCTGTTCGACTGATTTCCTATGTAATTCTACGTTGTCAGGACATTGAGGTTAGGTAATCTGACACATGAATGATGAAATTGGTATACTGGTGCAGCACACAAATAAGAAGGCAAGTGGAATGTTGGTGTTTATTTCAAGAGAAATGCAATGTAAAAATGAAAAACTGTTAATGCAGCTGCGCAGGACCTTGCTGACACCCTGTCTGGATTAATGTATCCAGTTTCAAGTTTGCTTATTTGACAAAGGATATAATTGCTTTAGAAGCAGATTAAATAAGATTCACTCAACTAATTCCCTCAGTTGAAGTGCTTATCTTATGGAGAAATGTTGAACAGATTGGGCCTATAGCCATTGGAGTTTAGAAGAAACGAGAATTTGACACATATACAGTCCTAAGGGGACTTCACAGGGTAGATGCTGTGAAGATATTTCCTTTTGTGGACTTTGCTTGATTGATTTTTGATGGACAAAGGAGTAAACTTTACAGGACAGAGAAGAAAGTGGAATTAGGGTCTCAAGCAGATCTGTTGTCAATTGTCTTTATCAAATGATGAAGCAACCACAGAGAGCCAAATGGCCTACACATGCTCTCAAATTCGAAGCTCCTCTGTCCTTTTACCTTTGGGATTTGAGTTAAAATCAAAGTCAGACTATTGGGTTGAAAAACATCTCTCTCTATTGGCTATAATGGCTCAATGTGGAATGGGTTTAGACAGTATCATATCAGTTCATCGTGGATTTTGATGTGGACAATGAAAAATGTCATGTATGCAGTTGATATGCTTTGCATAAGTTGGGATGAATGGGAAGAAGTGTGAATGAAATGTAACTCTACAGCTATTGTGCACGGAATGTCAACTAATAAAATTTCTACTGACATCGCACAATTTATATTAGTACTGCCAGCCCTCAGCACTCTCATCCACATCCTGATAGCCGTAAGAGGACACATGGCTAATGATAATGAAACCAACTGTTCTGCTGTATTAAGCACTTCTGAGTATCATGTAACATTGGTATTATGTGATTGTATTTTCACTGGGTGAGACTGATCGTAACTCATTCTCATAATAAGACTAAAAATTTTTAGGAACAGAAAAGATATTGCCCAGAAAGCCATCACCGTATCACTGATAACCCAATTTACTCTCCTCCTCAGTTAATTGCGTCTATTTTAAGGTCTCTAATCAATTTTGATAAGCAGATGTAGCCTCAGCTTAAAGTCTCACTGAAAAGAAAAGAGTCCTTTGTTAGTCCGTGTTGCTAATTTATGATTTGCTTTCCATTTTGGCTTAGGCAAGATAATTGTCAATTGAATAACACTGACACTAACATTGCAATTTTAAAGACTCTTATAAAGCACATACACTGGACCATTATGCTGAGCCATCACTAAATGCAGACAACTTCCAAGTTATTTTGAGAAGTTTTCCAAAGTCAGGAGTAGAAAAAAATTGAATGGATGTCCAGTCCCTTTCTGTTTCTCTTTGTGGTGTTGCATTGAGCGTTGGCTGATACCAGTCTCTTGTTGAAGTTTCTGTTTTGTATGCTGAATGGAATCCAATATCTCCTATTGTTTATAATTTTAAAAACACATAGCACATTTCCATGTAATGTCTTTCTCCAAGACCATATCATAAGTGGTCCCAGAACTATTGGAACAGTTCTGTCAAAAGGCCATCGACCTGAAAAGTTAACTCTGTTTCTTTCTTCACAGATGCCACCTGATCTGCTAAGTGTTTCCAGCATTTTCTGTTTTAATTTTAGAATTCCAGCATCTGCAGAATTTTGTTTTTCTGTTAATGAAATTGTAGCTGTGTGAATTTTACAGAGCTGAGCAAGCTGTAAATACCAGAAGTATGGCCATTAAAATCTGTGCCAAAGGGAACAGCAAGATGGGAAATGGGCACAAGTAGGCCTAAAGCTATATGCATATAACAGAACTGCATGTTCTGTATTTTTATCTGACTAGATGGCAGTAATCTGTACCTCTGAAAGCAAATGGAATTTGATACTTTATTCAGCAATTTGTATTTTACATTTTAGTTTGGATTTTTAAAAATTTTGTATGGTGGAATAAGAGGGATAGATATTGATCTAATTCAAGTGAATGTATAGGGCATTTTTCCTGGAGTGTACACTTCCAGAAAGCAGGTATGGAATGTGATTGGTGAGAGAGCCTTTAGACTGTTCTGTTGAAGTTAATAAAAAAAGAAAGGATGCCAGTTGGAACTGCGGCAACTTGAGAAAAGGAAAAGAATTGGTATTTGAAATGGTGAGTGAGAAATCCTGTTTGTAATGTATATATTTAAATAATTTCAAGGAGAATGTAGGTGATCTGTTTAGTAAGTTTTCAGACAACATGCAGGTTGGGGGAAGCTGTGAATAGTGAGGATTGCCAGAAGGTACAGCAGGATATATATAGGCTGGAGACTTGGGCAGAGAGAGGGCTGATGAAATTTAATCTGGACAAATGCAACATGATACATTCGGAAAATCTAATGCGGGAGGAAAGTATACAATAAATGGCAGAACCTTTAGAAGCATTGACATCCAGAGGGATCTAGGCATGCAAGTCTACAGTTTCCTGAAAGTGGCAACGTAAGTGGATAAGTTGATTAAGAAGGCATGTTTGCCTTCATCAGTTGGGACATAGAGTATAAAAATTGACAAGTCATGTTGCAGCTGTATATAAACTTTAGTAAGGCTATATTTGGAATATTGAGTGCAGTTCTAGCATGTAGAAGCTTTGTGGAGTGTGCAAAAAAAGGTTTATCAGAATGTTGCCTGGTTTGGATGATATTAGCTGTGTGGAGAAATTGGACAAACTCAAGTTCGTTTTCACTTGAATGTCAGAGGCTGCATGGTGACCTGGTAGAAGTTTACAAAATTATGAAAGGCGTGGTTAGAATAGATAGTTGGAGTCTTTTTCCCAGGGTTGTAATGAAAATTTTAGGAATTATAGGTTTAAGGTTAAAGGGTAAAAGTTTAAAGGAGATTTGAGAGGTACATTGTTTTACACAGGGTTGTAAATGCCTGGAATGCGCTGTCAGAAGAGGTGGTAGAAGCAGATACAATATAAAAATGTAAGAGGCATTTTGACAGATACACGAATAGGCAGGGAATAGAGGGATCCAGACTGCAAAGATTCGGAAGATTTTTAGTTTAGAAAGGTGTCGTGTCAGTGCAGACTTGGTGGGCCAAAGGGCCTGTTCCTATGCTGTACTGTTCTTTGTACCAATCCAAGTGTCTCAATTACAGCAATCCAAGACTCCTCAGAAAATTTGCAACTAATTTTTAAGGAAGTTATTGAAACGACTGAAAATATATCCTGCACTGCACAATTAATGGTAAAGGTTGCATACACTCACCTAAACTGAAGTAATTCACAGTGTTTAACATGTCCCTGCCAGAAGCAAAGCAAAATCAGCAAGTTCAAACTTCATCTTTCTTTTTAAACCCAATCTTCAATTAAAATCGTGTTGTAGAAATAAAATTAGCATTTTGAAATTTTATCTTTTACTTAGTGAATTAGGGATTCATTACATTTCAGTTCATTCTTGCAAGTATTATAGATTTGCTTGTGAACAGTTACATTTGTGAATATGATGCAGTGTACGTTAGAAATGGAATAGTGCAGTAGAACTTGGGAGGCCAGGTACAGGCTACTCAAAATTTCAACCCTGGAATGATAAAACGAGATCTGTTCCACTTCAAACATCTTCAAAACTTAAAAGATAAGAGCAACATATAACAGATGCGGGAAATCTGAAACAAACACAGAAAAATGCTGGAGGAATTCAGCATGTCTGACAGCATCTATGGAGAGAGAAGCAGAGTTAATGTTTTGAGTCCAATATGACTTCTTCAGAACTGAAGAAGAGTCATATCAGACTTGAAATGTTATAACTCTTGTTTTTCTCTCCACAACTGAATTCCTTCAGCATTTTCTGTGTTTGTTCCAAAACTTAGATGGCTGGTGATATTCAAATTACGTTACATTGTTACTACATTACGTTACATTGTTACTACATTACGTTACATTGTTACTACATTACGTTACATTGTTACTACATTACGTTACATTGTTACTACATTACGTTACATTG